CACATGAGGTGATTGAAAATACTACAGCTTGGGATGTGATTGAATCATTGTATGGTATGTGAATTATATGCCAATAAAGCTGTTGAGAAAAGAAGAAGAAGAAAATGCCATGGCTTGGGGCAGGCACGCCTTAGTCCTCAAAGTAACATCCTTGCTTTTCATCACTTTGAAGGGGTCTCGTGCAGCAGGTTGACCCAGTACCCTGCATCCTTTGATCTCCTAACTGCTGTTTCCGCGAGTCTTCATTGTGGATCCAAGCAAGATGAAATCCTTAACAACGTCAATCTTTTCTCTGTTTATCATGATGATACCTATTGGTCCAGTTGTGAGGATTTGGGTGTTCTGTACATTGATGGTAATCCATACTAAAGGCGTCAATCTTTGATCTTCATCAGCAAGTGCTTCAAGCCCTCCTCACTTTCAGCAAGCAAGGTTGTGTTATCTGCACATTTCAGTTTCTTAATAAGCCTTCTTACAAGCCTGATGCCACATTCTTCTTCATATAATGCAACGTATCTGATGATTTGTTGTGTTACATTTGATTGTTTGTTTAGCATACAGATTGCATAAGTATGGCGAGAGGATGTACCCCTCTCTCACACTTTTCATGATTTTCAACCATGGGTTGTATTCCCTGGTTCTGTTCGTACAACTTCCTCTTGATCTATGTACAAGTTCCTCATGAACACAATGAAGTTCTGGAATTCCCAGTCTTGTCAAGGTTATCCATAGTTTGTTATACACACAGTTGAATGTCTTGGCATAGTCAATAAAACACTAGTAAACATCCTTCTGGTGTTCTCTGCTTTCAGTAAAGATCCACCTGACATCAGCAGTGATAGTCTTTATTCCAAGTCCTCTTCAGAACCTGGCCTGAATTTTGGGTAGCTCCCTGTCAGCGTACTACAACCATTGTTGAATAATCGACAGCACAATTTCACTTGCGAGGGATAACAATGATATTGCTCTGTAATTTGTGTATTCTGTTGGCTCACCTTTCTTTGGGATGTGTACAAATAGGGACCTCTTCCAGTCAATTGGCCACTTCACTCTCTTCCAAATTTTCTGGCAGCGACAAGTACTTCATCATCCTGTTGGCATATTTCAAATGGTATTCCATCAATTCCTGGAACTTTGTTTTTGGCTAATGTCTTCACTGCAGCCTGGACGTCTTCATTCAGTACCATTAGTTCCTGATCATATGCTACCTCTTGAAATGGTCGAATGTTGACTTGTTCTTTTGGGGTTCAATGCTCCAGTGCTCTGTTTATTCCATCTTTTAAAAAAGTATTCCTACATCATTCAATATGTTGTCCACATACTCTTTCAATAATGCAACTTGAGGCTTGTTAGCTCCTTCAGCTTAAGATACACTAACTATGGTCTTCCTTTTTTGTTTTCTCACTCTAGATCTTTGTACATTTCATTATAATACTTTGTCTTTTTAAGCTGCCCTTTGAAATCATCTGTTCAATATGTCATCCTTCCTTCAATTTGCATTGGCTACTTTGTGATTAAGAGCGAGTTTCAGAGTCGCTTCTGATATCCATTTTGATCTTTTCTTTCTTTTTTTAAAATTTAATAATTTTATTGGAGGCTCTTACAACTCTTATCACAATCCATCTATCCATCCATCCATTATGTTAAGCACATTTTTACATATGTTGTCATAATCATTTTCAAAACATTTTTTTCTACTTGAGCCCTTGATATCAGCTCATTTCCCCCTCACCCACCCCGCCTCCCTCATGAACCCTTGATAATTTATAAATTATATTTTTTCATGTCTTACACAAACTACTGTCTCCCTTCACCCACTTTTCTGTTGTCTGTCCCCCTGGGAGCGGGTTGTATGTCAATCATTGTGATCAGTTCCCCCTTGCTCCCCCCACCTTCCCCTACCCCTCCTGGTATCACTGCTTTCATTATTGGTCCTGAAGGGCTTATCTGTCCTGGATTCCCTGTGTTTCCAGCTCTTATCTGTACCAGTGTACATGCTCTGGTCT